TTCCACCCCTTGCCTCTGTGAATCACGTATTCAAGAATTACCATTAAAATCTACAAACTTCACTCAACATCAACACAAGAAAAAATCCCCCACACCAAAATTAAATTAACTTCATCACATCACCAAACAAAGGTGGGCAATTCACACACAATCCACCCCTTGGCCCTTCACCACAATTACACAGCCCAAGAAGCAGTCTGAGCACAGCTGGGATGCTCACCCCAGGCCCAGAAGCCTGGGGAGCACTCACAGACCCTGCAGTCTGGTCACAGCCTTAGCTTCTAACTTGCACTTGGAACAGAGTGGCCAGTTACTTCAAATGCTCCAAGTGTAAGCTCATTCCTTTGTTATCTGAACTATTTGCACCATCATCCACAGCCAATTAACAGGAACTCTTTTTCTGGCCATAGAACCAGTCCCAAACTGGTTCTAAATACGTAGTTTTATCCAGCTACAGGTTATGAATGCCTTAAACCTCATTCTGTGCACACCTGTTCCAGTGGGGACTATTAAACTATAACAACTAGCTTGGGTTGCTAACCCTGCGAGATGCTTTGTACACCTCTGTGAGCCTGTGCAACCCATGCTTTTTTCTTCTGTACTGAACAGGGAAATGAGGTGACTGCCCCCCTCAGAATTCATTACTTAACCTGAAATTTCTAATGCTAGTGCACTAATCTTGCCAGACTGCTTAAATTACAACAGTTTAGGATCACTATCAAGCTTCAGATTGCCTCTCTTTATCTACTTCTGCTTATCTTCCATGTATCTGCTTTCAAACCAACATTCTATTATGTGATATTAAACTACTATTTTAAATAGATATATGAAGTAGTAGTGTTCTTGGATTCTGAGCAACTGTCCAAATCTAGATTCCTGCAGTGTCCCCAGAAGTGAACTAAGCTGCTGCCTGGCCCTCCTCAGATGAGGAGGGCATGTCTGCAGCAGGAGAGGGCACAAGGGAAGAGGAAGGGTCTGATAACTCCTTCTGTATTGCCTCATTGTTAAAACACACCAAATACGTTGTATTAAAATAAGAACAAGATGTTGACTAGTGGCGTTGGATGCTTTGTAGCTGTAGGGACCCTGAGGTAAGCCTTGGTTTATACAACAGCTTTAACCTTATATTCAATTGTATGACAGACTTAGCGTGGTTGTAACATTTATATTCCTCTCACAACCGGTTTTGTAATAGGTCATTTTAACATTAACTGCTCATACAGCCTCCTCTGTCCAATCTCAGACCTCTCCTTAATGTTCTACCCAAAGCTCCTAAATCATGGGCATTTTTACCTGGAAAAATGCCATGGAGCACGGAGAACTTAGGCTTTTGAAGATACAGGTAGGGGGCTGTGTGTAACTGAACAATGGCAACCAAGGACATACTTTTCCCCCCCTACAGCTTCATCCTTTTACACATTTGAGCATTAAGTACAGCAGAGGAAGCTGGCAGATGAGGCAGTTTCTCTGCTGCAGCAAAGCCTGGATAGCAACATGGGCTTCAACGTTAGTTCAATAGCTCCAGCGCTGAGCAGATTTGGTTGGAACGCATCTCCCCAGTGCCCTCCACCACCCCTCCTAGCACTGCTTTGACCAGCGGCCTCCCTGCCCACAGCAGAACCAGCAGTGCAGCACTGCCGTCCTGTCCGGAGGGCTCATGGACAGCGTGGGGGACTGCCTCCTGCTGCCCCTCAGGAAGTCACAGGCTGTGTGAGGCTGCCTGGTACCACACTATCCAGCATACAGGCACAGAAGTAGAACAGCTGAGCACTCAAAGGATGTGGAGCCTCATTATGACACAAAGAAACAGCATAAAGTCCGTACCATTTGTGACAAGGGCAACATCTCCAGGGAATGCGGGTTTTTGCCTTGGACAGGCCCCAGTCACAGCTTTGCAATGGTGCTGGGGTTCCAGCCAGTTGGAAGTAGCTTTCCAGACCACAACGTACCCACGCTCAGCCCTGGCAAAGTGCTCATCCCCATGTCTGTCAGACTGCTCAACATGTCAGCGTCACCTTACTGTGTAAACAGGCCCCCGCCCTCAGGGCAGTCCAGCAAGGCTTTGGGCTCTCAGCACACACCGACAGCAGTATTAGAGGCACAGTTAGGCATGCACTTCCATCTTCCTGCAATTTCTTGCATATTTCAATAGCCTTTTGTGATGATTACTGTACTTAGAATACAGAGTTCTGTCCCACAATAGAGGATTGTAAAACCTGACTTATTTAAGGCTACTACAGTAAAGGTCTTCTCACAGAGTTTGCGAAATGGAGTTTTAACACCAATGCCACCCCACAAGAAGCCGAACTAGAATGGCAAGGCATACCTGGCAAAAATCCGGGAACATCCACAAAGGTAATCAGTGGTATGTTGAAAGCATCGCAGAAACGCACAAAGCGGGCTCCTTTCACAGAAGAGTTTATGTCTAAGCACCCTGAAGTTCAGAAAACAGAGTAAGGTGTTCACAACTCCAGTGACCAATGGCAGCAATTCAAGGCAAAGTCAAAATCACACCCTGTTTTAGCTGTATTGTCTTCTGGAAACAAAACAGAACAGCTTAGCTGCAGATAACGCGGAGATCATCTGCCATGAAGTTTTGCTGGATTAGGACTAAGATTAGAGTACAAGCTACATTCAGCAGGCACGCATTTCATTTTTCTGACCACTGGACATAGAGATTTTCCATCCCCAAAAGCAGCAGTTCAAATTAATTCTATTTTTGTAATGTAAAATATTTTTCTATACTTTTCTCTTTATTGACATTTTTCAGATCAGTCATATTGAAAGGCTACAGGTGTCTCCATTAAAAAGCAAACCAAACCAAACACATTAAATGGCCCGCTTTTGAGAAACATTAGCATTTTTGGTAAACATGCTGCAAAGTATTTCTGTTGTGTTTCAGTGCCATTTAGAATGATATGTGCTGTTGTATTAAACCAAAACACATTTTGTATAAAAGCATCTATGTGAAACATTAAAAATCTTTGTTAAAACTGAGAATATCAAATGAAGACTGAAGTAATATTAAAACCACCATCTGGCTCTCTAGTGTTTTGATAGTCATACCTTGTAAAGATTACAAAAGAATAAAACATCATACTGGGTCATCTGATTTTCCCAAGCAAAAAGGTACACAAATTACAAACAAGGAACAAAAATGACAGCTCTGACTGCTGACAGAACTTACATAGGTAAGGAAAGCGAAATCCCTCAACAGCTGAAAAGGGTGACCTTTGCTACAGCTACACATTGTACCTCCCTATCAAAATTATTTGAGATCAAGAGTCCCACACTGGTACTTTGCATTGGTCTCGCTATAGCAAGCTGACTAAAAGAAAATGTTCCCTCACCCTCCGGAAGAGTTTTAGGCACCGTAGTGCTGTGGGAGTGAAAACGTGGTTCCTGTATTATGCTTAATCTAGTTAATGGCAGACTGCTGCCAAGCAAGCAGTGGGGGGTGGTCTTCTACCTGCCCTGCTGCTGTGCTCCTCAATTACCTGGGAGTGACATCACCTTGTTGATCCACTAAAGAAATTAACTGGTTTTCAGTTAGTTTTACAGTGTCACAGCTGCACTGCAATGAGCCTCAAGACAAAGAAAGTAGTAGAAAAACACAGTGAGGATGAGTGGAGGGCCACACAAACCGTGACCAGTTCATCCCAGCCTGGCAGCCTGGCAAAGCATGCAAAAAGGACAAAACGGGGAGGAGGCACAAACACTGAAAATGTTTTGCACTGGATTCGTATGGCCAACTCTAACCTGAGGCAACTTTGGGCTGGTTGCCCACTATCCCAACAGTTCGTCCGTTCATCCTGGCAAAGCCAACAACAATATTTCTGGCATAGGAAGGCATGATCTCGAAGAATTCCCTTTCATCAGCAATCTGCAAGGGCAAGAGGCAGAGACCTCATGAGGACAGACACACGTACATGTATTTACACACACAGGCAAACACAACATCAGTCATGTTAGTATGGGAACTTTCAAAACATCTCAGAATTTGCAGAATTTAAAAAAAAAAAAAAAAAAAAAGGAGATGAAAGAAACCTTTCATTCTTTGCAGCCTTCATCCCAGGAAGTGACTAGTGCTGCACTTATCAAAACTGCCACATAGGCAAGCCATCAGAGAACACCTTTATGACACTTCTCTGCAGTGACCCTCGTTTCTTAGCTTAAAACAAATTAAAGCTTCAAATCTAGGTGTTAGGAACTTCTTTGTTGCAACTTTGTTATTGGCCAACTACACTTTTAAAGAACGATTTCCACGGATAAAAAGCAAATAGTACTTTGTGGAGCTCAGCAACTCTCCATGGCACACTCAACACACACTATTTCTTTGCAAGTTCAGAGCACTTTCTGAAGAGGCCAACCCAGCGCACTCTGCTGCGTCTGTCTCCCCGAAGGCCCTGGCAGCACACGTCGCAGAGCACCGAGGAACACTATTCTCTGCAGGAGAGGAATGCACGCACTGTATCACACATGGTTTACCAGAAGTCTTGGCAGCTGCCCGTCTCTGGGGCTGAAGAGCCAGTGTGTGCTCTGCAAAGTGATATCCGCTGGTGTATACAGCAGTATCCAAATTACGTATTCAAAGGAGATCATAATTATACATGGAGCTATAGCGACACCTATACATGGCTGCCTGGTGTTTTCCACTAGGATTCCTTGTTTTCAACTGTTCACAACTGCTTTGCCAATACAGATTGCCAATCATTTCTGAGACTGAGGCAAATGAAAAATATAAGTATTGTTAAAGTAGTTTTATTTCTTTCCTTGATACTTCTCAGTCTATGGGAGGGTTTGGGGATTTTTCCTAATTCACTTCAGAATTTTTTTTTAAATGCCACCATTAAACTTGGAACAGGTAGTACTGAAATTCAACATGGAAGAATCCAGAGATTAAAATCCTCTGGAGCTTGCTTTCTCCACTAAAATGAGTCTAAACGCAGCCAGCTGCAAACTGAAAAATGTTGGCTCAATGAGCGTCTGGGGAGGGGCAGTCAAATAGAATAGCAAAAGGGAGACATATGGAAAGGTCGCAAAACGCAGCTGAGCTCCCTCTCCCCACCTGCATGTGCTGCCTGTGAAACAGAGTTTCTCTGAGTTCCATCACCCATCTCAGAACCCTGGGCCAGCTGCCATTCACCACCACTGGTAGAAGCAGCAGCTGGAAATTTTCATATTCAAAAGTCAGACTCTCGGGGCGCTCTACAGGGGGCTGTAACACGTTCCATGTGATAAAAATTCTTTTACAACCATGTTCTCTGCCCAGGCATTTATAATGTATTAAGTTGTTAAAACTGGAAAAGTGAAGTCCTCAAAGTTAGGCAAGGGAATTACCAGCATTGCCTGTGCTGCTTTAATAACACCTCCATGATTTACATACAGCAATGCTGGCTTCCAGTTTTTTTAAAAAATATGTTTTCTTCCCTGCCACCCTCCCAGGAGATCTGCCTCACTTAATGAGACTTTAACACTGGAGTTTGCAAGCTTCTGAGTGCTTGACTTGTAATTAGAAAAACAAATTCTTGTGCTGTCCATGTACATAACTGTCTCTTAGCCTAAACAGTGAAGGGTTAATCTTTAAATGCACTCTATGTAGTTTATTACCTTGTATAGAAGGGTGACAGAACTCAGGACAGCAATAACAAGGTGCAGGGAGGGGGGCAAGTGAGAGAACTCAAGACAAGGGGGGGAGGGGATTTTGACCCCTGAGAGAAAAAGGAATTACAGCAGCTTTCATCCGTACAGTTAGCATGCAGCGTAATAAGATGCATCCTGAAAACAAATCTTACGATTCCTTTCATCTGCTAAAATCTTTTTTTCTGCCGTTTTTGTTGTCCCTTCTTTCATGGCTACTACACAGGTAAAAATAGTAACTTGTGACAACTAAAAAAAAAAAATTTTAAAAAAAAGTATCTTCAGCACCATTCTCTTGGTTTCTTTCAGTTATTTACCCACAGAATATAATATATCACGACTAATCTCAACAATGCTCACACTAGCAGACTTACGGAGCGTATGATGTCCAGCATATCGTAGGCTTTAGTAGATTCAACTGGGACAACTGTGTCCAGCTCAGGAACCAAGCGGTCACTGCAGAAAAGAAATGTGAGCAACAGTATTTACAGATCAGAAGAACACCAAGACCAAATACTCAGGCAAACAATTCCAGCTCTCAGAGACTTCATGGAAACTGCTCCTCAAATACAGGGAAAAGGAACAGGTCTCTTCATCTCAGCCAGTCGCACCTCAGGCCACAGCCCTCATGCACCAGGAGGACAAAAGCCTGACCAATCTCTTCCCGAAAGAGACATCTCTTCTACAGGCACCTCTGGTCATGAAACCATCTCCTGGAAATACTCCTTCTCCTCTTCAACTAGAGGCACCTGCCATCAAACTCAAATATCAGCAGGGAGCTGGAGAGGCAGGCACCCGCTGCAAACGGCAGCCTGCAGGGGCACTGGAGGCATGCGGGGCACTGCGCAGGGGCACAATTCGGCGGCGGGGAGAAGATTTGGTAGAACGAGTGTCAAGGGGCAGAAGGGGCAGGAGCAAAGAGCCTGCTTAGCCAGCAGCTCCAGACCTTACCGCTGGACAGGCAAAACAGCTTCTCCAATGACAGAGTGAGGTTTCCTCTCACATCCTACCCTCTCACAATCTATAGCACATTTACAAGCTGATCCTTTCCCTGCCCACGCTTTGCGCTCATCATTTTGAACACAACTCGTTCATGTTGAACACAGCAAACCTTTCTGTCCTTACTTCCCATGTCACCAAACAAGCGGAGGTTCATGGGCAGGGAAAACGCCTGCTCTCAGCTTCTTCAGCTTAATGGCTGTGCTTGAACAATCCTCACTGTAACTCTCTTAACGGGGATGCGCTTCATGTGCAGCTTTACATTTAACAGAAACACTGCCTCCCTGCTGGCAGCTGACATGTCAGTAACCTCCATCTTTGATCACACAGCCTTCACTGAGGGCCTGCAAAGTGTTAGTGTTCACTGGGTCTTTGGGGTCATTCCCAGTCCCAATGGTGGGGTGTCAATTTTTATGAGTTGCCACCGAGAAGGCTTTAGGGAGTATTTCATTTGTGCTATTCCATAAAAATACTGGTCTGTATTTGTTGTAAATGGTGCTTCTGTGGAGTTCTTATTGAATTACCATTTTAACAATGCTGTGATTTAGTGTATTTAACACAAGGCTCTAGACACCCCATTCAGAACCAAAGTGATCTGCAGTTTGTCAAAATCAGGCAGAGACTAATAATGCAGGCCCCAGGGCTGTCTCTGTGCTCCCTCACAGACACAGGACTAGAGAGGCACAACTCCTTGCTGAGAGGGTAAGAGATACATCTATTCATAGAATAAAACTGACAGCAAGGCTTCAAGTATGTTTTCCACATGATTAAGAGTACTGCAATCAAATCCTTCCATAAAATGATACAATAAAACCTTAATCTGATGAAAGCAATCAATTTTAACATAAACCCCAAAATACAAGAGACTCTAAAACGCTTTCTTGCCCATAAAGTGGGTATGAACGTGCTCTAAGTTTGTCCATTACCTGTGATACCCCAAAGGAAAAGGAAAGTGGAAAAGCGCAATTATTGCTCTGATAAATTCACAGCGCTGTAGAGTACTGAGGGAAGTTATAATGACATTAGAATGAATAACTGCCATCAAAATGAAGACGTACCACAAGTTTCAAAATCTCCCTCAAATCACAGAATCACAGAATCATTTAGGCTGGAAAAGACCTTTAAGATCATCAAGTCCAACCGTTACCCCAGCACTGCCGAGCCCACCACTAAATCACCAGAGGTAAAGGACATCTGGAGCTCGCGAGTAGAGTCACTGGACTTAAGAGGCTGGGAACTGTGTTTCCTGCAGACCCCACTCAGCAAGAAGGAACCACTGCTCGTCATCTAAGCGGCCACCTGAAGCCTGCAACAGCTTCAGATACTGTCACCCACATCAATACTGGTTTTCATTCAATACAAGAGTGAAACTGTACTCTGTTACCAAGAATTGATAATAATCTCCTCCAGAAATCTGCATGCATACTTCAGGCTTTAGAGGAAACAAAACTTGTTTATAGTCAGAGACACAGGAAGGTAAAAAAAAAAAAATCCCATCACACAATATAACAAATGCAACGAACTAGACACCCTTCAAAGGTAGGGGACGTATTCACCGTTAGTCAACTCGGTACTATAAGGAACCTTCTAACGCCTTAGAACCCAAGCCATGGACATCAAAAGCTCCAACGCACACAAGTTTTAGCAACCAAGAATGACATTTTTCAACACCACAAAGGATCTACCCACTTAGAGAAAAACAAACAAACAAACCAACCAACCCAAAAAAACCCAAACCAACAGAAAAACCCACCAGCTTCTGGACTTAATGAAGACAAAAGTATGTTACATTTAATTTGCATTATTTGTGACAATTTTCTGCAGTGTGAAAATGATGCAATAAGATAAGAGGAAAGGCCTTTGATTGGAGCACCTGTAAGGGTCGAACACATCAATTCAAAGCAAAAGGAGTCTATTAAGATGTCAGCATGGCCAGATGAAGCATTACCAATGTAAGCATTAAGACCACAAATGGAGACGCTGCTATAACAACAGGCAAATTTAACAAACAGATCTGGCTTCACACGTGCAAAGGCCACTAAATTGAAGTTCTTAGTACAAATGGCATTTATGATTCTGTGACCCCCTAGTAATGTATCTGGTGCCACATAAAAGATTGTCTCCCTAAGAAAATAAAGTTATTCTCTCATAATACATTAGTAGCTGCAATGTAACTGACAGCTTCTCACAAGAAAATAAACTGCTTCTTCTAAGATACATTGATTAAAAACATGGGCTGTTGGTCCTATAATGAAATTAAAATACCACATTCAAGTCTACAGAGGGTAATAATCCCAGTACAATTTGTGGAATGCTTAGCAAGAACATGGTAACCTCAGAGATAATCCCCCAAATTTACCAAATAATAGATTTGCTTTGGTTTGTCACTATCAAACCAAAACAGTCTTCCAGTCCCATTAACTCCTAAAGATCAACATCTTAGAAAAAGTTTGGGACCAGTAACTAATTGACTTGTCTGGCCGTTCTCTGAAAGCAATGGGCAAAGTTAATTCTCTAACAGTGAACAATGTATTTCAGGATCCAGAGCAGTGAGAGAAAACTCCCCAACCAAACTGCTTCAAAGACATGATAAAGAACCGCGAGTCACGAAGAGAAGACAACCTTCCAACTTGCACGTTAAAAATCTTCATGCGTGAAAGAACAAGACATAGATCACACACGTCTGTAGAACTGAAAAGAACAAATTGAGGCACAGCTCCCATGCAGGAGAGGGTGACAACCTCTATGGGTTAACTCCAGAAAGGGCTGGACTGGGGGTGCAACCAGATCTCAGGTCAAAATGCGTACTCCATGGACGTTCTCTGTCTTTAACACCACTAGCAAGGCTGTCTACCCAGGCAGTCCCTGGCTCTTGGAAATACTCTCTGGTAAAAGTCCAGACGGTAGCTGTTTTTCCTCTCTTGAAATGACTGAAGTCATTCCTTTGTTATGTTGCCAACCACACAAGGACCCTGACAGAAGTACCTAGTACATAAAATCTTCTGCCTCCTTTGCCTCCTTGTTGCTTCCCCACCTCTAACCTAAATGACCAGCACTTACCCAACACACATGTAGCCAACAAAGCAGAGCAAGTTCTCCCCACTTCTGTTCGCTGCGCTATCTTCTGCCTCGCTTGCTTGTTTTGAGGGACTGTGACAGCCTGCCTGTACAGAGACTACTTTACCCCATCCTCAGTACACAGCCCGCATAACATTGCTTTCAGAAAATAAAAAAATTAAACCTAGCAGTAAGCATGTGTTTCAACATGCATGTATACATTCTCACACCACAATGCAGAATCATCAGCCAAGATCCCAGGCACAAAGCACTCATCTCCCTACACTCCTTGAGCCAGAGAAGCCACGAAATTTGGTGGTCAGAGACCCCAGATCTCAGCCAGTCTCCTCTTACCTGGGATCATGACATTCACAGACTGGTGCAGGATCACGGTTGCTAAGAGGTAAATAATTAAAGAACTCTCGGAGATTAAGTAAAGCGTCTATATCGTTCTCAAAGGCTCTGTGCGCGACTCCTGGAAAGAAACAGTTAAGCACTTACCAAAATTATTTTGCAAGGTTTCATTTTCAAGTATTTACCAATAAAGGTACAAAGAAGTAAGAGCAAGAATTTTTAAACCTGAGCTATTAACAATCAAGAGTTTCAAGCCACCAGATCTGACCAGCTTAAAAATATCCAGAAAATACGTGGCTGTATCAGACTTCCTCCTTAATAGGTCTGGATTGTTGATCTCTCATCTAAAATAATGTAAACTGGTTTATCAGCTGCCACAAACCTAGCTGTATCACGGCCTTCTGCAATGCAATCCAGGTTACTGTGCTGCACTCGAGCTTTGGACTACAAGTTCTTTTATAAAGGCTGGATCTGAGCAGTGTCTGTGTGCATGGTTTTGGTTCATCATCAGTTCGGTTCACATAGAATTTGAGATCCCACATCACTTTGAGCCTCAAGAAGATTCATGAGCCATCTCACATTGCCCCCTGGTTTGTAGTCAAGAAGTTCAACCAATTGTGTTAGTAAGCAAATAAGGGATTGTCAAGAATCAACCCATGCAAATTTCCAGACAACAAACAGAGAAACCCACACGACCCCAAGCCTGCCTTGCTAAGCCCTGCCCTCCAACAACCTTCCCCCTTCTAGAATCTTTTGTGGATTTGCCACTTCCTCTTCCAAATCCCAGGACTCTCCCACACTCCTACTTCTCCTTTTTTGTTTTCCATTACTAAATGGGACTGGCAAGAGAGCCCTATACAGAGAAAGATACTATGCTTAAGTAGAGTTTTATCACTTAGACTCAAGAGACACCCACAAGTACGAAAACCTGCATTAGACAATCAGCTATTTAGCCACAACAACTGTATCATTTACTCTGAAGAATGATTAGTTCATTAAGTAAACGACCCAGCTCTCACCGGATACAGCAGTGTGTGTCTTCGCACCCCCAAGCTGCTCTTGGGTGACATCTTCATTGGTGACAGACTTAACTACATCTGGACCAGTGATGAATAGGTAGGATGTATCCTGGGGGAGGGAAAAAAGCAAAACCACACAGTAAATGCTAGACCCAAGCTGCAAAAGCACCCAAGGGAAAGCCACAGTCTCCAGAGACTTTCCCCAAGGTAAGAAAATAGTAGAACATAGGGACAGATTTCTTAAAAATCCTTAATGCATTATATTAAAAATCCACAGGAAATGCAACTATCCACAAGTTACCCGGGAAAGTTTTTCTTGTCTTCTCATGAAAAAATACACTTAATCCAAAAGCAGGAGACCATCTCAAAAAAATCCTTCCTGTGGGGTCAGTTGTGTCTGACCAACGTTAGCAGCAGTAGGTCAGGTCAGCATGCTCCACCCTTACCTTCACCATAAATGTGAAATCAGTCAAAGCAGGCGAATACACAGCCCCACCAGCACAAGGACCCATAATGAGGGAGATCTGTGGAACTATGCCAGAACACAGGACATTTCTCTGCAACAGAAAAAGGGGAAAAAAAACAAAAAACAAAAAACAAAAAACGACATCTAGTTTTACCCAAAAAAGTGCACCTTTAGGTCTGTGCACTGATTCTGAAAGAATTCACAATCACAACCAGGAAAGGACAGCTTGCTTTATTTACTGGGAGACAAGTATCTGGAGAGAATGTCTTGGTGCAAATAGAACCAATATAATTTTGTTGCTTCTGTTTTGCTTCTCTCTGTTGCCACACATTTGGTTTCATTACCACACCATGACTGCAAAGGAAGATGGAAAATATGACTTCAGATGCTGCAGGGGCAAAAACTTCATGGAGCCTGTAGTGGGGAGAAGTGTACGTACCTGAAATTTGAGCAGATAGGTACGCTATTGCTCCGAGGTAGAAGTAAGATTTAATAACCGTGGCAGAGATTCTGTTAAAATCAGACTCCTAAGTTTTACACAACGGTGGACCACTGCTGTCCACCAACACGGATGGCATGTTCTCCAAAAAATGTTGACATTGCTCATTGCTCAACTGGATTACAACTGACTCCTGTAACTGTTCAACTGCATCATCCCAGCCTGTGCTAATCCAAAAGACTGTCAGCATCTGACTAATTTGTCACCCCACCTGCTCGCACTCCTGCTGACAGCACAATCATGTTCACGTTCTGGGCACTTACTTTAAAGCAATGTGGTTTGGTAGGCATACAAAATAATGTCATTTCAGTGAAAAAACAATCAGTAGTGTGTCTAGAAGAAAAATTTTTGCATTAGCCACAAATAACCACTGTAGAAACATAAAACTTTCACCAGTCCAATCCGTACTGGACATCCCCAAGTGGTAAGTTAACGCAGTACTGCATGCTGCTCTTTGAACAGAAACCTCTGACTTGCTTTCCCCCCGCCACTGACCTACCATCTTGACACAACAGACACTTGGTGCTTCTGATCCAAGTTTCTGAAGTCTTCCTCAAGTGCCTAATGTTTGATTTACTTTAAGGCTCTCTTTCCGCAGTAGAAATCTTTCACCTTTTATCAGCCCTATTGAAAACAAATCTGCTGTGTGAAATTTCTTAACATGTATTTCAGAGGAGACATGGGGACAGCTGGTGGTGGATCACAACCACCAGGCACCTAACAAAACACTCTCTGAACTACAGCATGCCCACCTGTCTCAAACGGATAACACACTCGAGAGAAATTACATCCCAACACAGGCAATCTTCACTTTAGTGTAAACCAGAAAGTTAGTTAGTTGTTTGGTGTTTTCTTCCAATTGAACAAATTGCCTATTCTTTCCTTCTCAGGACAAAGCCCACTATACAGTGAAGCTTTTCATTGGTTCACAGTGTTTCAGAGAGCGCAGCATTACCCTTGTTTAACACATGAGCAAATGGAACCAAGCAGTTCAGTAATTTGCCCAAAGCCAAGAAGAGAACAAAGACAACAGTCCAGGTCTCACAAGCCCTCATATATGCTGCTTTATCCACCAGGTAACACTGGCTGAAATAGGATGATGATAACCTAGAAGTTTACTTACAAAAACTGACTTAAGTAAAGGAAGACTCTCTCCAGCTCTGTGGATGCCAAGCTTCCTCATCATCCAGCAGCCTACTTACCAAAAATATATCTGCATAGCCCGCCAAGGACTCCACCCCCTCCTGGATACGGGCTCCTCCAGAGTCATTCAGCCCAATCACAGGTGCTCCAACCATGGCAGCTTGATCCATGACCTGGTGATGAACACAAACTCCTCATTATTGAGCTAGCTTATCTAAAACCCCACAGCAACCAACCCCAAAAGGCACAAACCCTGATGAAAAAAATCCACACGTGCCAGAATTTGAACTGCCCACACACTGGTCAGCTTCTCCTTTATTTGTATGAACTATTACAGTCACTAACTGGTTACTGGGGTGTCATGTTTTGACTCATTTAGACTGGAGGCTAAAAGACACACATTTAATCCTTCTAACGACCTTTATCTGCCTTACTTGCCATGCATCTCTGTAATCACACTGCATTATCCAAACCCTGCACTAAGTGACACAACCACAGGAGTTTGGACCAGAGAGGTCCAATCTCTCTGTTCGTAAGAGGTCTCCATTGCACCTTAAACACTCCCTCACGTATGTCTAATCTGATCTTAAAAGTTTATTGCGGTGGCGACTGTGTAATCTTCCTAAGCAGTATATTCTAATGCTTGATTATCCTTCTTAGAAGTTCTTTGAGAAGCCTAAACTAAATCTTTCCCCTGGAAATTTAAAAACGTTACTTCTTTCTTGATATACAGTAGACAGGGAGAGCAATTAACTATTTCTTTGCCTCTGCCTTCATAAACATTCAAGTACCTCAAATCTCCCTTCAGTCTTTGTATTTCCCTTCACATTTCTAGACCAAGCACCATGAATTCAGTCTTTCTACACCCTATTTTCTAGCCCTCTGATCATTTTGGTTACTTGCCTCAAGATCATACACAACAAGCAGAGGCTTAAGTGGGAGGACTGAATTCCTTAAGATTCCTTACATAAAATATTCCTACTTAATAGATCCCAGTAAAATATTTGCCATTTTCATAACACTACAGCACTGGCATATTACATTAAGATCTGCTTTAGCTCCTAAATAATCTTCTGTAAAACTACACATTGTCAGTCAATCCCTATTTTGAATTTCAAAGTTACTTCTCCCTGCCTGCTCTTAGCCTTTTCAGTCATTGTTAGAGAATTAAATCTTATTTCAAACAATCTGTAACTTATTAAGATTTTCAGAACTGCAGTCCTGTCTTTCAGAGTGCTTGCAGCATCAACCATGAATTTCACATTGCCTAGAAACACAGTAAGCATACTCAGTGCCACTCAAATCAACAGTATCCCAGCAGTACCAAAATGCCAGCCTGAATACAAATCAGCAATAACTCGCTCTGTAGAGCTCTGAAGTGGCTTTGTTCCTACTTGCAGTCATTCAGTGTGAAACAGGGGTTCTTCACGCCTTGTGCCTGGACGTCCATTTGGAAGTTAAACTATGGCCATGGCAGACGCACAGAACGACTTTATAATTTAAATACAATCCCACATTTAAAAAGCATCTGTGTGGACTGCAAACAGCAGCTCTGTGAGCCACGAGTGGTCTCGTTTGCTTACATGACTGCTGCACAAGGCATTACACCAAATGCCTTATCAAAAATGAGTTGACATTTACTGCTTCCTCCTAGAAAGCCTGTCATCCTATCAGGACAGGTTATTGAAACGATTTCACCGACACATGTTGCTATTTTCCAGGGCCTTACAGATGGAATAAGTATTTGTTTCAAGGCTTTTCCAGACATTAAAGTTCTTCCTAAAACACACACCGATATGCATATTCAGTTTACTGAAAATGTGTTCGCATAATTGAGAACAGACATTCTTTTGCCATACCAGTAATTGTAGGTAACACTGCAGGATTCATTCTCAAAAACACTTTTCTTCATCTCCTGGACTTAACAATTGTCTTGAAACTTGGCATCAAAGATGCACACATAGGCTTTGAAGTGTTCCCCACCACAACTGGGCATGTATTATTCTCAAGAGAGCCACGCTGAATCTCTGCTGCTTCAGGGAAAGCATTACAGACATTTAATGTCGTCTGAAAGACCACAAGGCTCTTCTGCAAAAGTATAAAAGTAAGAGGCAATCCGTAGCCCAGGCCTACCCAGCTCGGAGCTTTGCTGCAAGACGCCCAATATTGCTGCCTGTAACTCCAGGAAAAAATCCCAAATGGCAAACGATTACCACCAAAGGGGCAGATCTCCAGGAAGTCCAGCTAAGACAGAGCAACTTCACTTCCATGTTCCATAACACTTGGCACCCCTTAAGCCACTGATAAGGTTTGCAGGAACCAAGACTGTCTCTCTCAGAACAGATTTCTGCTTCCCAGAATTCAGCCCAAGAACTAAGAGAAGCAAGACAGATACCAGACTACCCAGCCAGTCTGGGCTTTCCACTGCCCAGGCTGCAGCCTCAAAGACTCCAAGCCCCAAAGCAATTGATACATCCAGAGCCTTCAAACTTTGGAGCCTACCACTGACACCGATCCACCTAAGAACAGTACCAACTAGGAAGGACTCACGTTTTTTTTCTAGTTCTGCTACCAGCACTCTTCCTGGTTCTTTAGAAATAAGAGATCAAAAAAAAAAAACCCAGTAGAAAGCATCCCAATATTCCAGCACCACTACATCCCTCACCAACACAAAGAGACACTGCAAAGCTCCAATGTGAAAGGATAATATCAAGTCTTTCCCAATATCGAGACTTGATACAGCCAAGTAGTTATTATCCAGCCCAAAGTCTTTGCGTTTTCTAGTTTTATACCTCCTCACTGCTGAGGAGCATATACCAAAAAGTAGTTATTTCCATCAGGAGAAAAGGCCTTCCACACCAAAAACCTTGTTTCTGATTCCAAGAAAATTCAGGAAGTTTTCACCAGCCCACACCACTGAACACTCACACATGAAAAAGTTCTTCTCCTCCCCACCCCCGAGATTCAAACACCAGCTTTCCAGCCAGACAAGCAGACAAATGAGAATAAACAGCCAGAAGTGCCTGATAACAGAAGCTCTTGAGTATCAAGGTGACCTCCAAATTGTAAAACTGTTTATCCTGAGATTCTTTACTTGCTACATTTGCTTTTTATAAATATTACACACTTCCACATAGCACTGTTTATAGGAAAAAGTTTCTCCCGAGTCATTTCGTGTTTCTCCAGCAGAGAACGGCTAGTTAATTTATACTTGTACTTTTTAAGTCTCTCTTGTCTTTTACAGAACAGTACAAAGGCAACTTAATTTAAACAAAGTGTGTATTACTTGGAAAAGCTCTCTTATACTTGAAAAGTTTCCAAAGCTTAAGTCTCTGCTCACCTGTGCTTTCACATCATAACTGATATGAGGAGGCAGGCATTTTCAGGTTGCCATGACATACACCAGAGTCCACTAAAGTCAGCCACAAATCATTTTCTCCAAAGTCATCAACATAACAGATTGAAAAAAGGGTGCTGGCAATTTTGGGGGTTTATTTTCTTCTGTAAAATATTACCTTGCAGATCTTCTGGGCATGAGCTCCAGATAAGCTACCTCCAAATACAG